AACGGCAACAGCAACAGCAACAGCAACAGCCACACCAACACCAACACCAACGCCGACACCAACACCAACAACAACAACAATCGCAACAATAGCAACAGTAGCAGCAGTAGCAACAACAACAACAGCAACAACAACACCAACACCAACACCAACACCAACATCAATACCAACACCAACACCAACACCAGAAACAGCAACAGCAACAGCAACGGCAAGGACAACACCAACAGCAACACCAACAACAACACCAACACCAACACCAACGCCAACGCCAACGACAATACCTACAGCAACAGCAACAGCAACAGCAACAGCAACAGCAACGGCAACGGCAACGGCAACGGCAACGGCAACGGCAACGGCAACAGCAACAGCAACAGCAACAGAAACACCAACACCAACACCAACGCCAACGCCAACAACGCCAACACCAACACCAACAACAACAACCGCAACAATAGCAACAATAGCAACAATAGCAACAACAACAGCAACAACAGCAACAACAGCAGCAACAGCAACAACAGCAGCAACAGCAACCACAACACCAACACCAACACCAGCACCAACACCAACATCAACGCCAACACCAACACCAACACCAACACCCCCACCAACAACAACACCACCACCAACACCAACGCCAACGCCAACACCAACGCCAACGCCAACGCCCACGCCGACGCCAACGCCAACGCCAACACCAACACCAACAACAACAACAACAACAACGCCAACGCCAACGCCAACGCCACCACCACCACCGCCAACACCACCAACACCACCAACGCCAACACCAACACCACCAACACCAACACCAACACCAACACCAACGCCAACACCAACACCAACACCAGCACCAACACCAACACCAACAACAACAACAACAACAGCAGCAGCAGCAGCAACAACAACAACAACAGCAGCAGCAGTAACAACAACAACACCAACGCCAACACCAACACCAACACCAACAACAACAACCACAACAATAGCAACAATAGCAACAATAGCAACAACAACAACACCAACAACAACAACAAGAATAACAACAATAATAATAAGAATACGAAGAAGACGAAGAAGAAGAAGAAGAAGAATAAAAAGAAGAAGAAGAAGAAGAACACGAACACAAACACAAACACGAACACGAACACGAAGAAGAAGAAGAACAAGAACAATAACAAGAACAAGAGCAAGAACAAGAGCAAGAACAAGAACAATAACAAGAACAACAGCAACATTAACAGCAACAGCAACAGCAACAGCAACAGCAACAGCGACAGCAGCAGCAAGAGCAGCAACAACAGCAGCAGCAGCAACGACAACAAACCCAACAGCGTGAGACGGCGAGACGATGGTGAAACGACTAACACTTGCGGTTTCTGGGTGGTTGCGTTGTGACCCATACCCATTGCAGTGAACTAGGAAGTCTTTGAGGCAGAACAGAACCTATTCCAATGTCACGAAGGTGGACTTGAGTGCACATGAACTCAGAAGCGTTCGGAAAGTGGGTCTTGCTATGCTTGTCGTGCCTTGAAGCACCTTTGATCCTTCTGAGCACCAAGGATCGAATTTCTGGACACGGAATCAGGTGCGAATCTGCGCAGAACAGAGAGAGAGAGAGAGCTTTATATGATCGAATCAGCATGTCCTCAAAGCTGAGACTTTTCCTGAGCCTTGGCAGTTGTTTCTGAAGAGTCCGCAATTGTTTTGTCTTTGCTTGCTCCTTTTCTCTGTCTGCTTCTGTTTCTGTCCCTATCAGCTCAGCTGGGCATTCAGATTTAGTGGTGTTTCTTTGCGGCATGGGTGCCTTTTGTGGGGCCAAGCAAATGTTCTGCCAGCTCCCACTGATTCCTGTTGGCCATAGGAGGAGGTTCTACTACTTGGTTTACGAAGGTTATGTAATATATGATTATGCCTCATGACGCTTATATAATTTGTATATAGGTTGGTAGAACCAACTGTGAATGGGCTTGGGCTACTTATTTGGTTCTCTCCGGGAGATTGCTGTTAGATATTTCAGAAGTAGTTGAATCATAGTTTGCAGCTTGTAGAACTGAAAGAGATTCCTCTCAGACGAAACTGTGCTGTGGTGTTACGTCATCAGCTGTCAGTTGAACAAAGTGGCGCTGGTGCCAGGCAACTGCATCTATTAATCCATGCTAAAGTTTCATTTGCACCATTAGTAGCAGCCATCAATTTAGCCTGGCAGGTTCTTAGACATGCTGTATGTGGTGCTTCACTAGACATCGGAGGGCGTCGCCGGAGAGTTTCTTTTGTGGGTTTTGCTGGCTTTTGGTGGCTTGTGGCTTTTTGGCCTGGCGGCCTTTTGGCTTGGGTGGCTTTTGTGAAGCGTTGGTGGCGTTGGTGGCGTTGGCGGCGTTGGTGGCTTTTGTGACGTGCTTTTTACGGTTTTCTAGCAACGCCACTAGCATCACCAGCAAGTTGGCTTCAGCTTGGTTTGCGGTGGTGAGCGGGCTTGGAATAGTTCTGGGGTCAGTTTCTGACGGGTTAAAGTTTAAGGTTGCTTGAAGGCGGGTTGCAAGGTCAATGCATTGTCTAGAAGTCGTACCAGCGTCATCAACACCAACCGCATCATTTAGGGCAGACGACCTCTTTTCCATGTTGATGTTGGTTTAGGGTGCTGTGAGGATGGTGTTTGCAATCTGCCGCACCATTTTTGCATTGTTTATTTTTCCCCCTCTTTTCTGGTGTTCTCTGAACTTCCCCCAACCCCTCCGCTTGTTTTTAGAGCGCTCCGTTTGTATTGGGGGCGCTCTTATTGGGAGGATACAATCTTTGAGCTCAGAGATTCAGGACCTGGAAGGCGGTTGTAAAACTGTGCTTCCCACTAATTGGTGGTTTGGATCGGTGGGTTGGGGATTTGAATCCCTAGCTTTTGTAGAGGGTAGATGGGAAACCACCCCGGAAGACCACCCACCAAGAGCGCCGCGACTTCTGCCTGCCAGTCTTTGAGGAACCCCGACGAAGCAAGCAAAAAGCGCCGGATCACTCCGAAGAAAGTGGATGCTGCCATGCGTTGTTTGGAATTTACTTCAACATAGCGTAAAACACAGCATTTTGGCTCCCAGGAAGGAGAACTACACAAATGCACAGACATGAACACATATGGCTATGGGTCAAAACCCCGTACCCCCAGTGAACATCCCAATCCCCACTAAAATAGACTAAAATGGGTGGCCATATTTCTGCGTCCAAGTGCCGTGCACAAGCCTTTTGCCCCGTTTGCAGGCTCTTATGTGCTTCCAGTTTCGGGCACCACTGAGAACTGCATCTTGACGTGTCCGCACCCGAGCGAGTGAGAGCTGTAGATCAGCTCGGCCTGAAGATTCCTGCAGATTGTGCCTGTCAGATGTATTGTATGTATATATATATATATATACACCCTCCCACCAATTCACATGGAACCGTTCGACGTTTTGGGGGGTTCTGGTTTGGAGCATTCTCCTTGTAAAGGGACCTCCTGTCCTGAACGTCAGGTTCCGGCTGCAGAAAGGGTGGGAGGGTATATGTATGTTTTGCCATGCAGGCCACAACTATTTGCACAACAATACGGACTTCTACACGCTTGAGGGAGAGCCCGCTTCAGCCCTGGCAGAGCGCATCATGGGAAGGTGGTGCAGTGAGCTGCGGGTTTTGTTTGTTGACAGCCTGACTGCTGGGTCTGCAAGTGAGCAGTTTTGAGGTCATGCTGCAAGAGAAGGAGGACTGATGCGCATGAGTTTGGTATATTTCTACGCGTGAAGGCATTTCACACTCACCAGGTTGTTCTTTCTTCTTTTTTCTTGTTCTTTTATTTTTATTTTTTTCTGCCTCTTCTGGTTCTTCTTCTTCTTCTTCTTCTCCGTCTTCTTTTCTTCTTCTTCTTCTTCTTCTCCGTCTTCTTCTTTTTCCGCTTCTTATCCTCTTCTTCTTTTTTCCTTATTTTCTTCTTCCTTTGCGTTTTGCGCGGTCCAGTTTTCAGGATACTGACAGGGGTACCTTCGTGCTTTCTGTTTCTCCAAAGGCATTGCAATGCCATCATTTCACAAACATGTCAGTATAAGGCATGATGAGTAACGTTTCGTGTTTTATTTTTAAGTTTCTCCTCAATGTTGGGCTTATTTGTCGTGTTTCAAGGAAACGTATCGCAGTGGTGCGGGGCCTGGGTTGCTTGGCTCGCCCAGGACAATGCCGGCGGAGAGCCCGGGGCCGCGCCCTCCGTGAAGACGGGCAGCGTGTCGCACAACTCCGTGGCGGGCTATGGCAACCAGGACGTTTCAGAGAGCCTCACTACTTGGTGGTTTGGATTGGTCTGGGTTTGGTCTGGATACGTCTGGTTCTTTTCGAGGGTAGATGGGAAACCATCCCGGAAGGCCACCAAAACCACCAATCCAAACCAAACAAGGGGGAAGCTGAGACATTGTATTTTTGTCTTGGCCGAATCACTTGCAGCCTTGTCTCTCAACTGATGAACATCTGGTTCTTCTGCTCAGATTGTGGCACGGACAGGCCCTGGGGTGGCTGTTGAGGACACCTCTTGCCGTTTCTGTGCCCGTGCCAGGACATGACGCAGGCGGACTTCCTGGTGCGGTGGCTCAACGGCGGGATCCTCAGCTTGCGATCTGTGCAGCTGTGCCGAAAGAAAATCTTTGCACGTGCGAGGCAACGTGCTCAAGAATCAGCTGGACCACTTCCCGCAGGAAGTCCATTTGGAGTGCGAAGTCCATTTGGCCACGGGTCAAAATCCAAATCGTACCTTGAGTGAACATCCCAATCCCCACTGAAATAGGTACTAAAATGGGTGGTGCACCTAGCCCAAAATGGTACCATTGGTTTTGACCTACAGCTATTTGCTTTCAGGCCATGGCTTCAGAAATGCCTTCGCTTGTTTCGCTGACTGGAGGACCTGGTCAACTCCAATGGACGCCACCTTTATGAAATGATCGAGCAAGCTCCCGAGAGTGGTCTCAAGAGTGGGCAAGACCACAGCTTGGCTTTTGGGGTGCTCACGAGAGCCGAGCCACATGTGGTGAGGCGGTCAGAACTGCTCATGGGCGGGTTCCCTCAACAGCTCTTTTCGCAAAGCACCTATTTGACAACAGGAAACAAGACAGATAAGATCATTTCTTGAATTTGCAGTTGTCACCACTTTCCAATTGATTGGTGGAGAAGCACGTGAAGTCAGCAAAGCAGAGCGCTCACGGGCGTTTGAGGTTCCTCTCTGGCAAGTCGGCCGGAAACTTAGATTTCTCACCTTTGCTACTGACAGGTTTTTAGGTTTTTAGGTCTTTAGGGTTTAGTGGGGGTTACATTCAACGCACCAACAGTTACACTTTTAGCAGGGATCTGAGGATGGTAAAATTCAACAATACAACATTGCCACTGACAACAGAGAAGCTGTGACAGATTGATTGACTGCGGTAGTTGGAGATATGATCGCAAGCACAAGAGCGACTTCAGTGCTTTAGTTCGCTTGACCCATGCGCTTGCTGAGCCATGATGCCGCTGGCTGACTTGCGGCTCGCCAGGTACCCAACAAGGCCTTGCCACCACCGCAGCGGCTGGACAACACGGGAAACTCCTTCCGTGGCAATGACCGAGGCGGTGGTACGTCCGTCCTGCTTGACTGATTGCGGTGCAAAATCGGTTTGAACAACAGGCTGCCTCTGAAAGAGGGAACAAGATTCCACGATGGTGTTGCATTGTTAGCATGTGTTAACATGTGTTGTTATGCGTTAACGCAATGGTGGGTCGCCTCAACTTTTCTGATGGCAATATAATGGCAGGTGCCAAGAAGAGTCGGGAGATGCAAAAGATCTTGCAGCTGATGCAACAGTATGAGGCACGAGTAGTTTTCTGCTTTGAGCAGTGTTGCGCATATTTGTGTGTGTGTGTGCTTTTTGAGGGTATCTTTAGAGGGAAGCCAAGGACAAACCAAAGGATACCCTTTTGACACATGCCTATTGCCTCAAAGCATTTTTTTTATTTCTTTTTTTTGGCGAGGCACTTTGCGTTGCAACCCTCAAGTGTTGGGTTGGTGGCTTGATGGGGAGCAATTGGTTGTTTTTGCTCGCGCCTAAAGCAGTGAAGTGGTTGGCACCTTGTCAGGTTTTGCTGAACTTCCTCAAGCAGCATGGCGCTCTCTTGTCATCGCTCCGCCGGGACCTCGGTTCGATAAGGTGCAGTAGCAGTGGCATTCTTGTTGCCACTGTGTCGATAGGTCCCGAGCACTTCCTCTCCCACGAGAATTACCTGCAATATCAGCAGAGCATGAACGTGGGCATCACCAGAAGGCGCGCAGCCCTGGACTTTTGGTCGATTTCCCCCCGAAGGCCGAAGGGTCAAAGCCGGAGACTTGAGCTTGTTGCCCGAAGGCACGCGGCCAGCAACCGACGCGGCAATGTTTACTTAAATGACTAAGACGTAGTACTCTACCTTTTGCGGATCGCTGGAAAAGGCGGCAACACTTCTGAGCGTTTTTTTGGCTCATTCCGGCGGGGCTTGTGAACTCAGGCAAGTGGACAAGATGTTCTTTCCCAAGAGTATGGAGGCTGGACGGTGTGCTGGCTTCCCCTGGCAGAAGCTGAATACGTGGTTGTTTTCCTGCGAATCGGGGGGCGGCTATCCCTTATTATCCCCTTCTTAAGGCCTTGTTAAGGGCTTATATCCTGGACTTCTCCAGGAATAGCCACCCCCCAGAGCCTCCGTAAAATTCCATGACTTGTTTAGCCATTCGGCATGCAAGAATCGGCTTGTTGGCTGTCAGCTTCAGGCGTGGATGACGTCCATGCTGCAGACGGTGAAGATTTTCTTGCTGAATCGCATCACGCACAAGGCGCGCTTTTGGGATGGAGGGAGCCCACGGCGTCAGAGCCAACTTGACTGCCGGAGTCAGAGATCTGGACCACCTGGTGGCTCAGTTCCCAGCCATCCGGTGGAAATCCAGCTAATCAAAAGCCGGTCATTTTGAGCAGGGCAGCTGAAAACGGACAGCCCAGAGACGTGCGCATCTCAGAGTTGCAGATCTCTGGGCTTAGGCCTTCAAAACCTTGCCCGGCATGACGCCGGAGTTGGACCAGCCCGTGGGAGCTCCTGCTTTCGCCTCGGTTTGAGTCGAGGCCGTGAGGGCTGGAGTTGTTTGCAAGAAACTGAAGAATTTGATCGGTCAGTATGGGGTTTTACATCCATTGCATCCGCAGTGTGGCTGTTCAAGCGTGAAAATGTGCGAGCAGCGCACTTGGACGGTTTGTTGTTTCCTTTTGGGCCCCAAACCGGTAACCCTTGAATCTATAGGTTATCAGCCGTAGGCCCCTAGCTCTAAGCAATGGACGGTTCCCTTGTGCCAGTTGATGGATCCAGCATGCCTGTGGATGCTGCCGGAGCTAGCTCCGGCAACGCCACCGGCGGCGGTGTGCGAATGTTCGCATCAAGCGCTAATGCGCAATACAACCGCACCCTGATGAATTCCCTTCAACTGTACAATACCGCAATCTTTGCTTTTGGGAATGATGCAGCCATTAGGTCTGAAGCCGAAGCCCTGCATCAAGCAGCTGTTACGCATTTGCAAGCGGAAAACCGTGAGGAGCTCCGTGCCGCACAGAATCAGCTGCATGCACACTACGCTGAGTGTGTGCAAGCCCAGTCGCATAGGATTCGTGAATACGAACAGCGAGTGAGCGATGAGTTCATTCAAGAAGTGAACTTCGCTGAAGCTAGGATAAGCCAAGTGTGTGAGGAAAATGCCCAAGCATTGCATGAAGCGGAAATGGGACGCAAAACAACTGAGTTTAGGCAAGCCATCGAATCCACCCTGGCGGAAGCCCAGCAGCTCCTTCATGAGCAAGCTGCCAAGCATGCCGATGACACAGCCCGTGTTGAGGCGACACACGCCAGAACGGTTGACATGATGGCCCACCAAAACGGGCTTCTGCAGGACGAGCTCGATGAGCTGAAGAAGTATCAGAAGCAACACGACCTCCGCGAGGATGGATCGAAGCCCAAAGGGGTAGGTGATACCCGAGAGGATTCACCAGAGTTGATGACCGATGACATGAAGTCAGCTCGGTCCCAAAGGTCAATGTTGGACCCGCTTACCCATCCGTTTCAATACGCAAAGGAAAAGTTGAGGTCGCTTGTTACCTATGACGGTTACGGGGATGAATATACCCCTAGCGTGATTCCAACTGCCGAATGCGAAGCACTGCCCGCAGATGCTCGCGATCCGCAAGGACCAGCTGAAAAGCCATCAGGTAGCAGCCGATCCCCGGTGAAAACAAGTGCACCGGTTCCACCCCTGCAATTCTCTCAGGGGCCAATGTCAACTGACCGCAAGCAGGGTGGCAAGCCTCCTGGCGGTCCGCCACCTGATGATGATGGCGATGGCGATGGTGACGAAGACGATGGTGACGGCCTCGGGCCTAACCTCGGCAATGAAGCATTCGCCAAGATGTTGATGAAGTTAGTAAAAGGCCAAACGAACGATGAAAAGCCCAGAACCCGCGAAAGCGAGACGTTGCGATTCAAGGAGATGCCAACTCCTGAAACGTACCGTGAATGGAAAACATCGGTTCGTGAGGATGTCCGCGCCGCATCTGACCGTCCAGACGAGGCTTGGCCTTGGATCATGGAAGTCTGGTCCGATCGCGAGGACAAGAAGAAGCTGTTGGAGGAGCTCGGCGAACCGGGAAAATTCGTGACCCTAGACACGAAGATTCTCGCAGCGCTCACGCGTTCAGCGAAAGGCGATCTGGCTCAGCGAATCCTAACAGCAAAGGAAGAATGTGCCAAGGAGGGAAAGGCCATGAGAGGAAGGCAGGTCTTGTTTATGTTTGACCAATATTTCAAGACCAGTGAAGAAGCCGGAAACCTCTACTCCTTGGAGGACCTGTTGCGTGTCTCGCGACACGGCGAAGGAATCATCGATCTCAAGCGTTTCCTAATGCTTGGGATTCCGTGATCGCCGGCATGAAAAGGCCGCCGGAAGAAAAGGTGTTGAAAGACATCTTGCTTCGCCAAGTGAGAAGCTGCCATCTGTTGCGGTACGACATTGACACATATGATCGTTGCCGTGATGATGATCCCAATAAATCGTACGATTTCCTAATGCGTTGCATGAGGGATCTAATCGAGAGGGATAGGCTTCGCGAGAACCGAGAGCGCGTGTCCAAGGTCAATGCTAGTAAAGCCCCGACGCCCAAGGCTGGTGCTGCCGCCCCTGAAAAGAGGGACCCCAAGAAAAAGAGCGCACCTAAGCCGAAGGACACCGAGGAGAAGTACTGTTTTGACTTCCAGAAGGGCTCGTGCACGAGGGGGGCAAACTGCCCTTACGCGCACCGCAAGGAGCCGCGAGGACGCTCCGCGACCCGCGGCAGGCCAAGTTCCCCCAAAGGCGGTAAAGGAGAGAAAGCACCGTGTTCTTTCTTTGCCCAAGGGAAGTGCACTAGAGGTGACAAATGCAAGTTTAGCCATGCCTCCACGGGCGGCAAATCTGCCGCCGCGGCATCGAGCAGCGAGGCCAATGCAAATCCTGCGGCTAAGAAGCGTGCAAATTCACCTAAGCCTAAGCCCAAGGCCAAAGCCGCTGCAGTCTGCACCAGGTACGCCATGTTCGCAAAGCCGATCGATCCAATCGGAGTGTCATTCGACACCAATGCTCATGTGCATGAGATCCCCGCCGAAGGCGATGGTTTTAAGCTTGAGTATGAGGAACGGCAGTACAATAGGATGTTTCCAAGTGCCAAGGACTGCCCCAGGCCGACCAAAGGGACTAACAAGGCAGCGCGCAAGGCCGCGAACCAGTTGAATGCCGTAGTCAAAGCCATGGAGAATGGAGCCCAGCCCGCTTGTGGTTTCATGTGCGATGTGGAATCCGATTCCATCTCAAGCCTATCGTGTGATGAGTGCCTGAGAGTTGCCATGCCGCCTCACGATGTTCGCAAGGATGTCGAAGCGCCAAGGGCAGCCACCCCTGCCCCAAAGGGAAAGGATGTGTGGCTCATTGATTCCGGTAGTGAGCAGGACCTCATCAGCAAAGCTGCACTGAGGAATACGTCCAAGGCAATTCGAAAACAGGCCCCTCAGCCCATTCGCCTTGTGACTGCAAACGGAAACATCACTGCTTCCGAAATCGCCGACATCAATGTCGATGCATTGTGTGAGCCTGCTCAGCCTTACATCCTCGAGAGTTCTCCCGCAGTGCTGTCGCTGGGTGTGAAGTGTCTGGATCAAGGATATTCCTTCCATTGGGAATCCGGGAAGGCGCCAACCATGGTTCGCCCTGATGGTGCTCTGATCCAGCTCAAGGTTGACGGTCATGTGCCATATATGGATTCTAGCTGTGAAGCTGAGCCATCGTTGAGTGCAGTAGCAGCATCCAAGCCAGCGCCTGCGCCGGTTCATGACGAAGGCATCGACGAAGGTGATGATCCCGACGATGAAGTTGAGCGGTTCGTGAGATCCCGCAAAGAGCAAGATCTGGTTGCCGAAGCAGGTACCAAAGAGCACTTGTTTGCACACTATCCGAAGAATCCCTTTTGCCGCACTTGCCAACGTGCCAAGATGCTTGCCCCATATGCAAGATCGAAAGGCGGGCAGGGAAGGCTCGAGACGAAAGCGTTTGGAGATCACATCATTGCTGATCATGTGATTCTCAAGGCCAACATCGAGCAAGGCATAAAAGGTGAATGGTGTGCTCTTGTGATCAAGGACGTGCATACGCAGTTCAGGTACGTTTACCCGTCGACCAGCAAAAGCACGGAGCAATCCGTTGCAGGGATCCAGCATTTCATTTCCGGTAGGGATGAGGTTGAGGTTCTCTACACTGATAACTCCCGGGAATTGAAAGCCGCAATAGAGCAGTTGGGGTACCGTCATCAGACCTCCATTGAATATGTTGATTCTTCCAAATCTTTCGTGGAAAGGGAAATCAGACATCTGTTGGAGGGAGCACGTGCGAACCTTGTTCAGTCAGGGTTCCCACTGTCGATGTGGCCATTTGCCATCCAGCACAATGCAGTTGCGACCAACATCCTGCCACAGTTGAATGGAAACGATTCGCCATGGTACCTCAGGTTTAACAAGACCTTTGATGAAGCTGAGATACCTTTCGGAGCAAAGATACTGTTCTGGAACAACCCTGCACGAGCTGACAATCAGGCAGGCAAGACTTCGCCAACATCGAATGAAGGCGTGTTTCTCGGGTACCATATTCAGCCTGGGTTCGCATGGAAGGGTGAGTTCCTCGTTGCAAAACTAGAAGGGCTCGATTACCATATCGAACATGCGTCCCTCACGGTACAGCGAACAAAGCGCATTGAGCTTCCGACTGATGAGTTCATCTTCCCGATGAGGTTGTTGAAAGACCCTGCATCTCATCCACCTGTTGCCAGTGCTAGGACACGAGATGATCCTGTGCCGTTGGAGCGTGGGCAAGCCCACATCGAGGAACCCGCCGCATCGGAGAAATCCGAAGCGAAGACCAAGCCTGTCGTGCCCGACAAAGGCGGTGCATTCGACCCGAGCATAATGCCTGATGGGTCACCAGTACCTGATGGCTATGTGTGGGATGGGGTTCGGCTCGTCCGTAGGAAGGCCGGATCCAAAAGGCCTCCCGATATCCCGTCTGACATGTGGGTCATGCTCGGCAGTCAGGACCGAAAGGCCCTAACCCAGCAGTATGAAGATCAGCTCCGTGCAGATGCCAAGAAGGCAGTGCTTGAGACAGCAGTCTCTTCGGAGGCCAGATCCGAGCACCCCGAAGCCGCATCGAGTGCAAAGCCGACCAGCGCCGCCCGCGAGGGCGAGCCGACATTGCCTGTGATCCGGCACGCGCCTGCGATGTCCGTTCTTCCGGAACGTGACAAGTCATCAAAGGAGCCGCATCGCCCGCAATTGCGTGAGTTGGTCAAAGAGCGAATCAAGAAAGTTGAATTTGATGTTGCTCTTGAACTGTTCAGTGCAGTCGTTGCTAGGCTTGTACCAAAAGCCGAAGTAGCCAATACGCCAAAGGCCCAAGCTGCCCTTGACAAGGAATGGGAAAACCTTCGAAAGAAAGGCACTTGGGATGAGTTCAGAGTAAATGAGTGTAGGCGCGTCA